CGGTCAGGATTCAATCGGGTAGGTGGGTTCCGGGTTTGGGTAAGGGTTAATAGGTTCTTGGGTCGGGTTATTTAATTAGAAGGTTGGGCTGGGAATTGGTCCGATTTTGGCTATAATTTAAATAGCCAGTTTTTTCCCTATTTTTTTATTTTAATAAATAATAAGTAATTTCTGGAAAATAATTTAAGGTGCCAAAATGATTTAAAATATATAATTAATATTTTAAAAATATAGGGACCAATTTTGTGCATATAAAATATAATTAAACATTAAAAGTGCTAACATTGCAATTATATGTAATTTAGCTTAAAAATACTAAATATAATTATAAAAATGTATGAAAAATATATTTGCCATATTTTGACAAAAGTACAGAAATTAAATGAGTAAATCATCATAAAAATAATTTGGAAAATATTTTATTGGGGTTTTATGGATAAAAAAGGGGGAAAATAAATCAATTTAAACCCTTAAAATTATGGAAAAAATAATAAAAACCTTGTGCATGCTTATATATGCATATATATGCTATTTTGAAGGTATTTACGCATACTAAATTATATAGGGAAAAATTGGGTATCAACAGCTGCCCCTCTTTACTCGGGAATGATGAAAGAGTTTTCGGGTAAAGAAATGATGGCCAATTTTGACCGGATGGGATGCTTTGACAGACAGAGGCTGAGCTCCGGTTTCCGAGTTGCCTACATATCCCTGGTTTTACAGGAATCAGGCCATGTGTAGTTCTGGATTCACCTGCGGAGTATGCCGATAAAATCATTGTAAGAACGGACACGAGATGCGGAAGCAGCTACGATGAGCGGTTAAGGCTCGGGACGGCTGGAGGAGCTGGAGCAGGATTGCTCCTGCTTGGATGGCGGTTGTTTGCTGGCTACCTGCAGATAAAAGATGCTACAAACGTATTTGCGAAAATTTAAACATGATGCAGATTCCCTTTTGGACCATGAAGGTTGTCTTCGGACGGTTAAGGATGACGTCCTTGGACCATGACGTCCTGGGCCATGAATTGTTTAATGAGGGATTCGAAGGCCATGAAATGATGTTCTCGGGCCATGAAAATGGTGCCTCCGAACCATGACGCCTTTGAATAATGATATGCAAATTCGGGGGATCCTCAGGCCATGGCATGGTGTCTTCCGGCTATGAGGATGGTGCCTTTACACTATGACGCCTTTGGATAGATTGGCGATGTTTTAGCCCATGATATGCAATAATATGAGGTAATGAGACAAGGTTTAATCTTGCGAAGTAAATGGCAGAACTTAACCCGATTGAAAAACAGGTAGATAGTAATAGAAAATAGAGCAATATTGATACAAAGAGGGACAGTGCTTAGTCCCGTGCAAGTGGGGAGGCAGGGATTAGCCTTATGCAAAATGGAGGCCGAGCTTAGCCTCATGCAAACGTGGAGTCAGGGTTTAGACTCATGTAGGTATGGAGGCAAGGATCAGGCTCATGCAAATATGGAGTCAAGGATTAGACTCATGAAAGGAGAAGGCAGTGCTTAGCCTTATGCAAAATGGAGGTAGAGCTTAACCTAATGCAAGCTTGGGGACAGGGCTTAGTCCCATGCAAATGGAAGGCAGAGCTTAGCCTTATGCAGAATGGAGTCAGGGCTTAGACTCAAGCAAGTATGGAGTCAAGGATTAGACTCGTGCATATATGGTGTCAGAGATTAGACTCATGCAAATATGGAGTCAGAGATTAGACTCATGCAAATATGGAGTCAGAGATTAGACTCATGCAACTATGGAGTCAGAGATTAGACTCGTGCAAATGTGGAGTCAGGGCTTAGACTCGTGCAAATATGGAGTCAGAGATTAGACTCGTGCAAATGTGGAGTAAGGGCTTAGACTCGTGCAAATATGGAGTCAGAGATTAGACTCATGCAAATATGAGTCAGAGATTAGACTCACGCAAATGTGGAGTCAAAGATTAGACTCATGCAAATGTGGAGTTAGAGATTAGACTCATGCAAATGTGGAGTCAGGGATTAGACTCATGCAAAGAGAGAATAGCAGATAAGGGTAGAGTATGTCTTAGCTAGGATATATTCAATGTCTGATGGCCGGATGGATGGTGAATCTGCTTTGTGTAAACATGCTTCGCTAATGCTACCGCTACGTCAAATGTGCCTGCGCTCAAAGAAAAATCGTAAGTTTATGAGGGGAGGTTTGTTCTTGCTTCGTCTGCCGGCCTTGCTCTGCTCTGTTCTGGAAGCCCCTTTTCGAGTTCCCCTAGGTAGCACCGGACCGTTATGAAAAAATAGAACTTTCGAAAAAAATATGCATTCATTGATAAAAAATAGAATCGTTTTCGAAGCGTATTGATATATCAAGTAATTTTGATGAACTAGTGACTGTGACACATTTCAAAGGCATTGCAGTTTTCTTATATTGGAATTTTGAGGGTCCTCCTCAAAATTCTGCCCCAGTTTGGTAGATGATTTTTAACTGTTTGTGGCTAGCTGACCCTGCTGAATCTTCTTCAGAATTTTGAGAATCCTTCTCAAAATTCTGCCCCAGTTCTTGACTGATTGCTGACTACCTGGCATGTAATGGCGCTGGCTGGACTTGCTCCGGAATTTTGAGGACCCTCCTCAAAATTCTGCCCCAGTTTCTAATTTTGGGGGAAATTAAAATTTTATTATGATATGACCGAACCCATAAAGTTGCCTACGTATCCCCTCTTAAATAGGAATCAGGTCAAGCGTAGTTCAATTACATCAGAAAAGAAATGTGAAATAATCTAGGCATAGTATCTCTTGACTGCGTCTGAATTGATTGGTTTTGGCCAGATTTCTCCGTCCATTTCTGCAAGTATGAGTGCTCCTCCTGTCAGAACCCTGTGAACCATGTACGGACCTTGCCAGTTGGGAGAGAATTTCCCTTTGGCTTCATCTTGATGCGGGAAGATTTTCTTCAATCCAACTGTCCTGGTGCGAACTGTCTCGGTTTGACTCTTTTGTTGAAAGCTCTGGACATTCTGTTCTGATAAAGTTGGCCGTGACATACTGCGTTCATTCTCTTTCCATCGATAAGGGCCAATTGTTCATAGCGGCTCCTTGCCCTTTCCGCATCGTTGAGTTCAGCTTCCTGTATAACTTTTAAAGAAGGAAGCTCTACCTCGGCTGGGATGACAGCCTCGGTACCATAAACCATCATGTAGGGGGTTGCCCCGATTGATTTGCGAACTGTGGTGCGGTACCCTAACAAAGCAAAGGGTAACTTCTCATGCCATTGCTTGTGATTCTCTACCATTTTCCTTAGTATCTTCTTAATGTTTTTGTTGGCGGCTTCTACGGCTCCAATTATCTACGGTCTGTAGGCGGTGGAATTCTTGTGCTTGATTTTGAAAGTTTCGCATATAGCTTTCATCAAATCACTATTGAGGTTGGCGGCATTGTCAGTAATAATGGACTCAGGGACTCCGAACCGGCAGACAATACGATCCTTGACAAAATCTGCGACGACTTTCTTGGCTACAGCTTTGTAAGATGCAGCTTCTACCCATTTTATGAAGTAATCAATGGCTACCAGAATAAACCGGTGTCCGTTCGAAGCAGTGGGCTAAATCGGACCGATACATCTATTCCCCTGGCAGCGAATGGCCAAGGTGAGCTTGTTGCATTGAGCTCGTTTGGCGGCACCTTTATCATGTCGGCATGCACTTGACATTGAAAGCATTTGCGGACATATTGGATACAATCCGTCTCCATGGTCATCCAAAAGTAGCCCGCCCTGAGTATTTTCTTGGCCAGAACAAAACCATTCATGTGCGGGCCACATGTCCCAGCATGCACAACCTCAAGTAGCTTAGAAGCTTCCTTTGCGTCGACACACCTTAGCAAACCCAAATCTGGAGTTCTTCTGTACAAGTTCCCTCCGCTGTGGAAGAAGTGATTTGACAATCTCCGGAGCGTGCATTTCTGAATGTGATTTGCATGCTCCGGCTATTCTCCTTTTGATAAGTACTCCTTGATGTCATGGAACCAAGGCTTTCAATCTGCTTCTTCCTCGACATGAGCATAATATGCTGGCTGATTATGGATCCTCACCGGAATGGGTTCAATATAGTTCTTATCTGGGTGCTGTATCATTGATGACAAAGTGGCTAATGCGTCGGCGAACTCATTCTGAATTTTGGGCACATGTCGGAATTCTATCTTCGTGAACCTCCTTTTCAATTCCTGCACATGGTGCAGATATGGCAATATCTTGGAATTTTTGGTAGCCCATTCTCCTTGTACCTGGTGCACAAGCAAATCCGAATCGCCGATCACCAACAACTCCTGAATGTTCATGTCGACTGCCATGTTGAGCCCTAGTATGCAAGCTTCATATTCCGCCATGTTGCTGGTGCAGGGAAATCTGAGTTTAGCAGATACGGGATAATGTTGACCTGTTTCTGATACCAAAACTTCTCCAATGCCTACTCCTTTGAAATTTGCGGCTCCATCAAAGAACATCCTCAACCGTCATATGCTCGGTAATGTCTTCTCCTACGAATGATACTTCTTCATCAGGAAAATATGTTTTCAAGGGTTCGTATCCTCCTCCCACCAAATTTTCAGCGAGGTGATCTGCCAATGCCTGTCCCTTGACTGCCTTTTGAGTTACATAGACGATGTCGAACTCACTCGGTAGTATCTGCCATTTAGCCAACTTCCCCGTGGGCATGGGCTTCTGAAATATGTACTTCAGAGGATCCATCCTGGATATGAGGTACATAGTGTAGGCATAGAAATAATGCCTCAACTTCTGGGCTGTCCAGGTCAAAGCACAACAAGTGCATTCAAGCAGAGAATACCGTACTTCATAAGGTGTGAATTTTTTACTCAGGTAATATATGGCTTGCTCCTTTCTTCCTGTCTCATCATGTTGTCCTAAAACACATCCAAAGGCTCCATCTAACACGGATAGATAGAGTAGCAAAGGTCGCCCTGGTTCAGGCGGGACCAGAACTGGTGGTGTGGACAGGTATTCCTTGATCTTGTCAAAAGCTTTCTGACAATCCTCGGTCCAACTTGTCTCGGCATCCTTCCTCAACATCTTGAAGATAGGTTCACATATTACGCTGGACTGTGCTACGAATCGACTGATGTAGTTGAGCCGTCCCAAGAAGCTCATCACGTCCTTTTTGCTTTTGGGCGGTGGTAACTCCTGAATGGCTTTGACTTTAGTTGGATCTAGCTCGATCCCTCGGCGATTGACAATGAATCCCAATAACTTTCCTCCAGGAACCCCGAATGCACACTTTGCGGAGTTCAACTTCAAATTGTACCTCCTGAGCCTGTCGAAGAATTTCCTCAAGTCTACTATGTGATCTGCGACCCTCTTGGATTTGATAACGACGTCGTCCACATATACCTCTATTTCTCTATGTATCATATCATGGAAAATGGTTGTCATGGCCCTCATGTAAGTAGCCCCAGCATTCTTCAGACCGAATGACATCATCTTGTAACAGTATACACCCTAAGGCGTAATAAAAGTTGTCTTCTCGGCATCTTCTTCATCCATCCAGATCTGGTGATAACCCGGGAAGCAATCTACAAAGGATTGGAGCTCATGCTTGGCGCAGTTATCGATCAGGATATGTATATTCGGTAGCGGGAAGTCATCTTTGGGACTTGCTCTGTTTAAATCCCGATAATCAACACATACTCGGACCTTTCCGTCTTTCTTCGGAACTGGCACAATGTTAGCTAACCAGGTTGGGTACTCAACCACCCTTAGAACCTTGGCTTTGATCTGCTTGGTAACTTCCTCCTTGATCTTCAGGCTCATGTCTGGATTGAATTTTCTGAGTTTCTGCATAACTGGCGGACACATGGGTTTGGTAGGCAACTTGTGAGCTACTATAGATGTGCTCAAACCGGTCATATCATCATACGACCATGCAAAAATATCCTCATATTCCTTTAGAAAACGGATGTATTCTTCCTTCTCTGTTGGCGACAAGTGAATGCTGACGCCGGTCTCTTTGACGGTCTTGGCGTCTCCAAATTTACTCTTTCCGTTTCGTCCAGGTTGGACTTAGGCTTGTTCTCAAAATTCTCAACTTCCCTGACAATTCCCTCGGGTATCTCATCTTCTTCCTCTGGGTCACTATTCTCATACTGTGTTGCCTCATTACATGTCACAGTCACGGGTTCATCAGGAAAAGTAATAATAACACTGTAGAAGGGAAAAGTATAAAAAATAGTAATGAATAATGATGAAGAATAGATACGTTTAATTAAAACTGAGAAAATCGTTCAAGCAAAAGCTTGGCTCGGTGGATCGAGCATTTATTTAAAACAGAGAAATCTTAAAACAAAATTGCTGAAAAATTTAAATGCCTAGACAGCTATAAATTCTGCCGAGCTACCCAGGGACTCGGCGGGCTCGGGATGGTGTGGCGGTCCAGTTTCTGAGAACAACTCCCTTTGCCACAGTCTGAATGGTGAGGCCTTCCTCCTCCTCCTCAATTATGGCACTGCAGTCCATATCCTCATCTTCTAAGAACAGATCCTTCAGCCCAGCTAGTGCTTCTTCTTCAGTAGTTCCCCATATTGTGTCTGCCTGATGGAAAGCTTGTTCTAAACGGGGTACCGGTTGCTTAATAGGGTAATATGGTCCGCTCCACGGAGGCGACCAATTCCTGTATTCTTGCCATGTGTACTGGTATCCGAGCCCAAAGGTAGTACCATGATTCTTCAGCGGTATTGGTTTGGTGATGCCTTGGAGGTTCTTTCCCAATCCTTTGCCGGGTTCATATCCAGACAATGCTAATATGCTTTCTATCTTGTTACTCCACCACTTGTCTTTTTCGACGGCATTGACCCGTTCGATGTGATGATAGGTTTCCCCTCCTAGCCTTCTTCTATGTCCAATGGCCGGAATGGTTTGACTGGTGTAGATGGGGTTACTCCCGTCTCCATGAATGATTACCTCCTGACGGTTCCATTCGAATTTTATGGCTTGATGTAGTGTAGAGGGCACAGCTCCAGCAGCGTGGATCCACGGGCGGCCCAACAAAAGATTATATGAGGCTGGTATGCCAAGCACTTGGAACTCAACGTCGAACTAAGTTGGTCCCATCTGCAGACAAAGGTTGATTTCCCCGATCGTGGACCTCTGGGACCCATCAAAAGCCTTCACATTCATGCTTCCGGTCTGTATTTCATGGAAACCTTTATCCAACATTTTCAGGGTTTCCAGTGGACAAATATTCAGACTAGAACCTCCATCAACCAGGACCCTGGCAATGAACTTGTCTTCAAATTGTACCGTGATATGCAATGCTCGATTATGATTCCGTCCCTCGGGTGGCAGCTCATCTTCGTGGAAGATAATCTTATGGCTTTCTAGTACTTGTCCGACCATGTTGTCCATTTCTCCACCGGTGATGTTACTAGGTACGTAGGCCTCGCTCAACACTTTCATTAAGGCATTCTTGTGTTACTCAGAGTTATGCAATAGTGACAGGATAGATATCTGAGCAGGGACTTTGTTCAGGTGATCAACAATAGAGTACTCTTTCGCCTGTACTTTTCTGCACAGGTCATCTGGCCCAGTCTCAATAATATTGCCTAGCAGTGGCTTCCTTACTTGAACCTCCTAGGTGTTCAGGCGTATAGACTTTTCCGGTCCTAGTCATTCCCTGTGCTTTTGAGCTGAATCGGGGTGTGGTTGATACTGTCACAGTGAAGGGTGTGACCACTTCTACTTCGAATGGAGTGGGGGTGGCTGCGGGCGGAGCCACTTCTACCTCAAACAGATCTGATGTAGTTACCTCAACCTCGATCGGTGCCTGAGTTAGAACCACGATAGAAGTGAGTGTGACTGCGACCTTAGGGTCATCGGCTTCCCGAATATGCCCGATCGACCCTTCAGGGTCCCATTCTTCATTTGTTTCTATCACATGTATACCATCACTTCTGTGATCAGGGAGAGGATTGTTGCGGACATTAGGTGAGGCCTCCTTTGCTTGTATGACCTTATTGTCAATTAACGTTTGGATCTTATCCTTCAATGTCCGGCACTCAGCTGTGGTGTGCCCTTTTATACCGGAATGGTACGCACAAGTCTTGTTCGGATTGACCCACTGGGATGTGTTTTCTAACGCCACAGCGGGAATAGGAGTCACATAACTGGCGGCTTTTGACCTTTCATATAATTGGTCAATGGGTTTGGCAATGGCAGTATACTGTTTGGGTGGCTTGCGGTCAAAGTTTGGTCGTGGTCTTGGATAATTTTGACGAGCTGGTGGTGATTGGAAGTGGGATGGTTGGGAGTTATACGTGTGATGGACAGAGGCTGGTTGGGAGTATTTGGGGGATGAAGGTTGATATGTGGGCGGTGGTGCTTGGTACGTGGGTGGAGGTGTTTGGTATACGGGCGGAGGTGTTTGGTATGTAGGTGGAGGTGTTTGGTATGTGGGTGGAGGTGTTTGATAGACAAGCGAAGATTTTGGGCCCTGGGCTACCATTACTGCCCCAACATCCCTCTTCTTCGATATGCCACCTGACTGTAGTGCTTTATTTGTGGCTTGCAAAGCCTCGAAGTTTGTTACCATTCCGCTCTTGATCCCTTCTTCAATCCTTTCTCCGAGCTTGATGATGTCAGAGAATTTGCAATTTTCGATAACCTTCAGCCTCTCATAATATTACGGGTCCTGTTCCCTGATGAAGAATTTGTTCATCTGTTCTTCATCCAAAGCGGGCCTGACTTTGGCGGCTTCCGAACTCCAGCGGGTAGCATATTCACGAAAGTTCTAAGTGGGTTTCTTCTTGAGATTCTGAATGTAGAAGACATTAGGTGCATTCTCTGTGTTGAACCTGAACCGGTCTATAAAATCTGACGCCATGCTTACCCAATTTGACCACTTTTTGGGATTTTGGCTGATATACCAAGACAACGCATCCCCAGTAAGGCTCCTCATAAAGACTTCTTTTGGATCTTTTCATCTTTCCCGACCCGACAAGTTTGTCACAATAAGTTCTGAGATGAACCCTGAGATCACCTGTACCATCGAACATTTCGAACTTGGGAGGCTTGTATCCTTCTGGCAATTCCACATCGGGCTGTATGCACAGATCCTCATAGTTTAAACCCTCTATTCCTCTATCGCCTTCAACACCCTAAACTCGACTTGTTAACTTTTTAAGCTCTTCAGCCATGTTCTTAATGAGCAGGTCCTTTTCAGTGGTTTCTGGTGTACAGGAAATTGGTTGGGTAGAATGCGGTATAGTTTCCACATATATGGGGTTGCTCTGATGGATGCCAGAAACTTGGGTATAGTGGTGGTCATTGGTGGAGTTTTGTGGATCAGGAACAAATGGTGGTGTATTTTGGGGAGTGGGGTAAGTGGTGACTGGCGGGTACTGAACTGGTTGGTGATATTGTTGTGGTAGTGTTGGTACTAGCAGTAGATTGATGTTTTGGGGTGGAGTTGCATATTGATTTGGTGCGGTAGGATTTTGTGGCTGTTGGCTTTGTGTGTTTTTGGGAGGTGTTGGGTTCTTTGCGTTCTGTTGGTGGATATCAGGGACATTGAGGGTTAGCGACAAATTTGCCAAATTGTGGACCTGCTCAAGTTCTCCTTGTAGTTCTAGTATCCTTTGTTCTAGTCTTAGAACCAGGTCATTCGGGGCCGGAGTACTGCGGCCGTCGGAAGTCTCCGCATTCTCAACATTTTCCTTTCGGATTCCACTTAAATCGTCCATCTTTTCTTTCCCTCTGTTTTTTGTGTTGCTTGGAGGAGGAGGAGGTGGAGGGCCTCTGGATCTGGTGTGATATGCTGATGAGGCCAGTCTGATGAACCAACCTAAGGGGATGAGAATAATAATAAAAAAAAGCAAAAACAAAAGGTGACAAGTTAGTGATGATCCTGAAATGTTTGCAGTATTTAAACACATATTGCAAAATATAAATTCGTACTAATTTGGGAGCCTCGTTGTGCCCGAGGTAGGCCTAGCGACAAATAAATTTGGAGAACTTCAAATGCCAATAAATACCTCATTTCATAATATAAGAATAGACGAATCCCAAAACGATACTGAAATAATGATAAAATGAGTTACTATTGGCACTTGGCCTTATTACATCTAGAAAAAGCAAAAATAAATCTATTTGGTCTCAGAAGGACCTTCCTCAGGTTGAATGTTCTCGTTGTTCAAATCCTCCAGCTCGCGTAAGTTCATCAGTAATAACGTCTTTGCTAGATGTCCTCCTTCGTTTCCCTCAGCATTCTGGCAGTCGGTGACTCTCTTCCTCACTTTTCCTTCCAATTCCAGCAGACTGTATTCCAAATATTCCAACTTTTCGCTAGATTCGAAGGCCCTTTCTTTCCATTCATTGATTTGGTCATTTGATGGAAGATTCTTCCACCAGTTTAGCAAGAGTGAGGGTGTGCTAACCATACCGAAGCTGGGGACCTCGTACCTCATTTCCTACAAAACAAAGGGTTAGACCTTACCCCCACCACACTCGACTATTTATACATTTATGATCAGCATATCGGCATTTAGTTCTCCAAATTAATGCACAGAACGTGGTTGCGTCCCTTGGGATTATGGAAAACCCGATGGACTTTGGATAAGGCTTATATTAAAGGATCATTACGTGGACAACATAACTGATCCGACTAGGTTTGACCACGATGCATGCACAATTTAAACAGAGTAAGGTTTCTATGGGGTTTTATACCGATACCCTCAAGCGGACAACTTGAGGGGGAAGGCACGGAACTGTCGACTGCACCGCAGATCGACTGGTTTTACCGCAAATAAGCATTTCCGAATTTAAGGGTAGTGAATAGGAAAAGCGCAACCACTCATTAAAGCGTTGCTATAGGATTTGATACGCACGAGTGGAACATGATGTGGAGCATGATTTATGCAGCAGTTAATAACATGTAGGCAAGTATTTTCACGTAGGAAGAAATAAATGCAGCATTTAAATAATTGAAAAGACAGTTACAGAGGAAGGAAAACAAGGAGACAAGTCAGTTTTCAGGGTAATAAAGGAATCATAAATGCTTAAAATAGACAGTCAAATTCAAATAAGGGAGAAGGGTACGGGATAAAGCATGCTTGGACTAATTTGTAAAGACAAGTTTGTTATGGTAAGAGCCTTAAAATATCCCCAGCAGAGTCGCCATGCTGTCGCGCCCCCTTTTTTTTCCCTCCTCGCGGGGAGAAGTCCAGGTTTCGACATTTACGGGGTGTAATGACTCATTTCCTTTTGGGAATTGGGTATTTGAAGAGTCTCCACCTAACGGATTATGGTGCGTTAGGGCACCTAGAGCGATTAACTTTTGGGTTAGTTTGCATTACCAGAGATTAGGGTAAGGGCTCGAAGTAACCTCGAGGGGAAGGTGTTAGGCACCCCTCTTGGTCCACAACTGTGGGTTCCGGCCGAACTTATATTCACAAATTAGTCCATAAATAAACAATTGAAGCAAATAATTGCAAGTAGAGCATGTTGGGTATTATATAAAATAAGAATTTAAACAAGTTGTAAAAAAAGGAAGATAAAGTTTCAAGCAAAGAGGATTTGGGGAAGAGGGAGGTCCTAGGTTGGTTAGCCTATAGGATCACATCAGTACAATGCCCGGTAATCACTCCTTAAAAAAGGTCTACGCGTGGCATTAGCGCATCGGTCATCGTATCCATGTCTACCCTTCCCATCCCTTTTATTGGTCATGCAAAGGGAGTGTTGGTCACGGATTCCTACCGCGTGCTGCTACATGTCCCTTCTTAGTGGTCCCGGAGGGAGTTAGGACCTCTACCTATAGATAGTTCTAGACAAACCCCTAAGGCTTTAAAGGTGAAAATTCTAAGGCGACAAGCAAAACAATTAGGACTTTGAGCAAACAAGAACAGGAAGGAGTAGATAAAGGCTCAATTTTCCTCCTTAAGTAAACATACAAGCGATGCGACTCGAACACAGTTAAGGTCTTTATTAATCAAAGTCCTAAAGCAGGATCTCTAAGTGACTGTGCGAAAACAGACCAAACCTTTATACCTAGAAGTTATAACCTAGAAGTTGCCTAGGGACTCCTTTTAAAAAATTATCAGACTCAGAAACGTTAAACGATAGAAAGAGCTTCAGGGGAGTGCAGTTTTGAAAATGCCCTAAGGCTTGCCTATATGCAACATACTGTGTCTATATTAATGCAGAGACAAACAGGTTTTCAAAATAGACTCCTTTAATACCTATAAGCATGGTATCTAATGAGATTAATGCAATTTTGAAAGAACTTGTTTCAGAAAATGCTTGACACTTAATAAGACCAGTTTTAGAAATGAACTAGGCGTGATGAAGTTGACTTATTAGGCCAAATTAAATCACGAGACAGAATTGCGAGTGTAGATCCCTATAGACATGATATCAAGGCGTATTACTGATTATAGAAACATACAGAAAGACTTCTTAGAACTGAATCGTCTTGAGTCCTATAGGCATGGCATCCATATCTGAATTGATTTAAGGCATGATTGTTTGGGACCTATAAACATGGTCCCTAACATGACAGAAGGCAAAACCTTATGAACATGATTTCTATCTGATGCAAACGAAATTAGAAGTGAGATCCTATAGGCATGATTTCTATTAGGCAAGGCAATCAGATTCAAAAGAGTAAATCCCTATGAGCATATTTTCTATTTCGCAAAGCAGGCAAATTAAAAAAGTAAAATCCTAAGAGCAGGATTTCTACCCATATTACCTCATAAAGTATACATCTACCCACCCTTTTTACTAAATACCCCAAATATCTGTTTACAAATTATTACAGGCCAATGAATGAATTACATAAGTAAAATAGAAAATCAAGAAGCTATTCTATAGGGAGCCTACAATTAGGCCCAAGTTTTCCAAAGCCTCCAATGGTCTCATAAGCCTCAATTCCATAGACAAATCAGAGTCTAGGTGCATCAAAGTTCCCTAAGGGCCTCAAGGACCCCGAGCAATGCTTACACCTAGACTCAGCAACCAAGAATTGAACAAGTGCAGTGTGGAAAGGCCAGCCTCAGTATGACAGAGTTCAGAGGGCTCTCAAGAGGATCCCAAGGCAGTACACATACTAGAGGGGGCAGAACTTATTGACTAAGAGTAAAGTTGAAGTACAGGACACAGGTTGAAAAGGGTTATTAAAGACTATACTGGAAAGTCTATTTTGAAAGCAATTAGTAAAGCAACAAAGATTGTTTGAAAAGAGGTTGGAGTAGTAAACAAGCTTAAACACCTTAAGAAAAGATCACACACAGCTAGTTTAAAGAATTCAGTAGTCATACAGGGGTCAAGGGATTGGGGATACATAGACATTTTGGCTGCACAACCCAGCAAAGATCTTAAGATTGGTTTGGACATGCTCAGAGATAGTTGACTCTAGCATAATCACACACCAGTCAGGAGAAATACAAGCACATAGAAGGGGTAATAAGGATTCGGGGATTCATAGGATGGTAAGCATACAAGAAATAAAAGACAATTGACAAGCATGCTTTGAAACCCACATAAGGGGATACATTAATCCAGAGGGAAGGGGAGACATAACAACATGCTGATAAGGCAACTTAACTACAAGTTCTACAATAGAACCACAAGTAGAAGCAAACAAGAAATAAAAGACTGAAACAATAACAGAAGCATATTATTGTTGGAGCTTTAAATCAAAACTAGGACATACCAGTGAAGGTAGAAGTAAGCAGAATGAAAAAATCAAAGTGCACAGATGATTAGCCTTGGCTTTCAGCCGGCTAATAGTAGAAAATAGCACAAGAGAGAGAGGGAGAGCAGAGACTTTAGTAAGAGAGGTAGTTTTTGGAAAACCGGTGTTCCATCTGTGTTAATGAAAGACTTGGGATATTTATAGTTGAAAGTAGGTAGTGAAATAAGGTAAGAATCATAGTAGTATAATAATTAAAGAACTCAGAATCAATCAATTAGAGAATCAAGGAAGTACTCCCTTAAGTTAAGGGAATCAAATCAAACGGGAAGATTCAGTATCATATAAGGCAAGAAGAAAAATCAGTGCATGACTAAATAAGGAAGGGGTCAAGGTTCAGTAAGCATAGAGTAGTCGATTAGGACTAAATTCATAAAACCTCAATTAAGGAAATGACTCAGTAAAAATAAAGTACCATAGCAAATAAGGTAATGAAATCAGTCAATTTAAACAGCCGAAGTTTTAGAAGAAAATCTTTCAATCAAATCATCAATTAAGGAAATCAGAATCAATCAAGAGGGAGTCATGATTCTGTATTTTCAACATATAAATAGAGAAGATCAAACAGACGTAGCAAACGGCAAGGTTAGTCATATTGACAGAGAGAAGCAAGAGATGAACAAGCAAAATGAGCACAGTCATACAAAAGTGACATAAGTAGGCTAAGGATTCAGTAAAACACATTCAAAGCATGGTAACCACGGAAGATTAACAAGAGTCAAATAAACAGCCTAACACACAGAACCAAAGCAAAGAAAATCTTAGAAATTAGGGCTCGGAGTCGAGTTAAAAGGCAGTAGGAACATAGGATCCGTCAAAACAAGCAAGGAACGAGGTTTAATCATAAAGATAATCGATTAAAACAAGTATAGAAGAAATTCCGAGAAACTCTAATTTTTAAAGGAAGTAAAACGGTTTAAAGTTGAGGATTTTTTAGAAGAAGCTTGAGATTAATGCAAATCATAGGAAGAAACAGACCTAAATCGTTAAAAAAACAAAAAAAAGCACAGATCTAAGAGATTCAAATAGGAGTTAGGGTTTCAAAGGAAACCCAAATAGAAACGAGAGAACCTGTTGCAAACTTCACAAATCGTAACACATATGGTGTGATTTTGCCCAAAGTCACACCAGAGAAGCCTCGAACAACAGAGACAGAAACCCTAGGTCCAAATCGACATGGCCTAGGACCCTTGAGGGCCTTAGAGATGATGAGCAAGGCGATGAGAGACCCATTGGAGGCTTGGGGTTGAAAGGAGGTCGCCGGAGATGACCGGAGAAGGAGGCGTTTGACAGAGTCTAGGGTTAGGTTGAGAGAGAAGACCGGAGATGAGAGAGCTTGAGGGCGGCAGAATTAGAAGAGTGATTAGGGTTAAGGGGTCTTTAGGATTAAAAAAGGAAGGGGCTTGTTTGGACCGTTGATTTGGGAGATCAACGGTCAGGATTCAACCGGTAGGTAGGTTCCGGGTTTGGGTAAGGGTTAATAGGGTCTTGGATCAGGTTATTTAATTAGAAGTTTGGGCCGAGAATTGGTCCGATTTTTGCTACAATTGAAAGCCAAATTTGGCTATAATTTAAATAGCCAGTTTTTCCCTATTTTTAATTTTAATAAATAATAAGTAATTTCTAGAAAATAATTTAAGGTGCCAAAATGATTTCAAATACATAATCAACATTTTAAAAATATAGGGATCAATTTTTTGCATATAAAATATAATTATACATGAAAAGGGCTAACGTTGCAATTATATGCAGTTTAGCTTAAAAATACTAAATGTAATTATAAAAATACATGAAAAATATATTAGCCATATTTTGACATAAGTATAGAAATTAAATGAGTAAATCATCATAACAATAATTTGGAAAATATTTATTGGGGTTTTATGAATAAAAAAGGGGAAAATAAATCAATTTAAACCCTTAAAATATTGGAAAAAATAATAAAAACCTTGTGCATGCTTATATATGCATATATATGCTATTTTGAAGGTTTTTATGCATATTTAAAATATATAGGAAAAATTTGGGTATCAACACCCAAATCGCATATGCGCCCCTCTCCCCGCATCTGCGATCCCGCAGATGCGGACAAATTCCTCGCACCTGCGCATCCCCTCAGCCCCAGCTAAAACCGCACCTGCGATGACATACTCGCTTATGTGGTCGCGCCTGTGACCAAACTCTTCGCAGGTGCGATCGCACCGGACCTGGTGCACTTCAGCAATTCCAAGTCCAAACTCATTCCGATTTCAATCTAAATCACCCTCGAGGCCCCCGGGACCCCATCAAAACATACCAACACCTCCCAAAATATCATATGAACTTAGTCGAGGCCTCAAATCACATCGTACAACATCAAAACACGAATCGCACCCCAATTCAAGCCAATTGAAACTAATGGATTTTCAACTTCTACAATCGATGCTGAAACCTATTAAACCAACTCCGATTGACCTCAAATTATGCACACTAGTCATAAATAACACAACTGATCTTATTCCAACTTTCAGAACCAAAATTCGAGCCTGGTAACCATAAAGTCAACTCTTGGTCAAACTTCTCAACTCTCCAAACTTCCATTTTTCCAACTTTCGCCAATTCAAGCCAAAATCCTCTACAGACCGCCAAATCAATATCCGGACACACTCCTAAGTCCAAAATCACCATACGGAGCTATCGGAACCTTCAACACTCCGTTCCGGAGTCATTCACACATAAAACAATATTCGGTCAACTCTTTCAACTTAGGCTTCCAACATTGGGACTAAGTGTCCCAACTCATTCTGAAACATCCCCGGAACCAAACCAACCACCCCAACAAGTCACATAACAATAATTGATCATTTAATAAGCAATAAATGGGGGAACGAGGCTATAATACTCAAAACGACCGATCGCATCGTTACAATGTATAAGTTGTCACAGGAAGTATTTGGGTGAAATCCATTGGTCATTCCAAAGGTTAATTTTTGGTACCGGAAGCAATAGTCCACGATGTACCTTTTTGCCATCAAAATATACGATGGGACCAAATATGCCCTCCATGTGGAGCCATTAAAAATAAGGGCATATTTGGACAAGCATTGGACGGTAGGAGTATATTTGTGTCAAAGCATTAACGACAGACAAATTCGATCAATTTCACATAGTTCAAAGGTATATATGGAGTTTAAAGCTGATGAAACATTGGCCTTGTGACTACCAAAGTCAATATAAAAGTGATAGATTAAATTTTGCGTTTAGATATGAGTTCGAATGATTGTGTTCAAGCTTTATGTTGGTGTACTCACCACTTTAACATACCTACAACACAGAAAATATGTTTTAAAAATTAATATTGGCATCCGAAGTTTAATCCATAGTGGCTCTCAACGTGGAGCACCAATCTAATGGTAAAACTTACTCGCAGTGAGAATACAAATTACTAACTAATCCTTATTAAGTGACAAGTTTTCGTGCGAAAACATATTATGTATCTAATGATATAAAAAAATTATTAAATGAATAGAACCTTCCACTTCCTTAAATTTTAAGACTTGTGCTTATTAATAGTCTTCAGTCAATATGGAAGCATCAAACCAAAAAAATTGACTTGTCAAAAGAAGAAAAGTTGCATTTGCTTGGTTAAAAAGACACTTTCTAATTTTTGCCTCTATAAAAGAAGACCAAAGTTCAAGAGGTCAGAACCACCACATAAAATTCCTCAACCAACATTGTAAAGCAAAAAACAGAGAACCAAAGTTGTGAGTTGTGAGATGGCAGAAGTGAAGTTGCTTGGTCTTTGGTATAGCCCTTTTAGTCACAGAGTTGAGTGGGCTCTAAAGATTAAGGGCGTGGAATATGAATTTTTAGAAGAAGATTTACAAAATAAAAGCCCTCTACTTCTTCAATCAAATCCTGTTTACAAGAAAATCCCAGTGCTAATTCACAATGGAAAGCCCATTTCTGAATCTATTGTCATCCTTGAATACATTGATGAGACATTTGGCGGCCCTTCCATTTTGCCTAAAGACCCTTATGACCGTGCTATAGCTCGTTTCTGGGCTAAGTTTTTTGAAGAAAAGGTATATTCTTTTCAGTGCTATATATTCTAATTAATTGGGAATATATTTTAGTAATAGTACGTTTACCATATTTTATGTTTTTATGAGTCTTTCCATGTTTGAGATTTGTATGTCGATAGAAAATACAACGAACTTTTAGTACTTTTATTTTTATTATAATATTGGACTTAGATGAGCTCAAATAAGGCAACATCATCAGACAGATACCAATTTGCTTGGGTTGAAGGTTGTTGTTGTTGTTGTAGTGGTAAATTCCTATTCCTATCCGCAGAATTGAACAAATTTTTATCGAAATTTAAGTTTCGAGTGTTCTACATTTGCAGGGGACATCAGTGGGGAGATCTTTCTTTCTAAAAGGAGGGGAGCAAGAGAAAGCTAAAGAGCAAGTTTGTGAGATGTTGAAAGTTCTTGATAATGAGCTCAAGAATAAGAAGTTCTTTGTCGGTAACAAATTTGGATTCGCTGATATTACTGCAAATGCTGCGGCACTTTGGCTGGGAGTTCTTGAAGAAGCATCTGGAGTTGTTTTGGTTACAAGAGAAAAATTTCCAAATTTTTGTGCGTGGAGAGATGAATACATAAACTGCAGCCAAAATAAGGAATATCTGCCTCCAAGAGATGAATTGCTTGCCCATTTCAAAGCTCGCTTTCAAGATGCAGCTGCTGCTTCTGCTCCCAAATGAATACTTTCTTGTTCATCTTTGAAGTTCAAAGATTTTGTGTGGCAATAAAATAGAAGTGGATTTAGTGCTAGTTTTGTGGGTTTAACTGAATCATTCGTATTGGCTTGAACAATGTATGTTATTTATTGTGTTCGGAATACAAATAAAAACAGAATATAATAAGAAATGAACTTGAATTAATTCTGATTCTACTGAACTTACTAAGTCCTAAAGGAATTTACTCCCATCAGAGTACTCGAGGCATTAGATTATTTCATCTCAGAATAGAACAATTTACCTTTGTTGCAATAGTGGTAATTCTCCAGCAAGTTTTGGATGCAAAGACGGGAACAAATTACGCTCAACTTCTATTTTGTGTTTGAAAAATAATGCAAAAAGTTTAAAAATTTGACAATGAAATTTGAGGCAAGGCCTCGATTTATATAGCCAACAAATGGGTAAGAGGAAAAGGTGTAATTCAAAAGTTGTTGCTTTTTCGGGAATAACCATGTGCCTTTACGAAAAAGTGCCCGCTTGGATTGATTTATTTTAAGTGTTTTTAAGCTAAAATAACTTTTAAGCCATTTTGTACTGCTTGGATGGAATAAAAAAGTGCTTTTAAGCACTTGTTTTTAAGCTAAAATGACAAAAATAAGCCAAAAGCTAGAATTCCTAACTTATGGCTTAAAAACTATTTTGGTTTAAAAGTCACTTAAAATAAGCTCATCCAAACGGGCTCAAAGTCATGAAATTAAAGATAAAAATTTATCGTCCATGTGACATAGCCATTATAGGTCCTCATATAGGAGACTGCCAACAACTGATCTTATTTGGAATGCAGTAGCTCAACCAAAATATAGGATCATCATGTGGTTTGCTACTCAAGGTAGACTGCTCGATTGCTCACTAAGAAAAGGCTAACTAATCTTCACATTCAGGTGGATGAAGACAAATGTAGTTTTTGTGTTGATCAAGTAGTGAAAACAAATCAACATCTGTTTGTGGACCGTCCATGGTCCACATTAATTCGAGACACCCTAATGCTTCTTGCTCAAAGTTGTTCGAACTATCTCTAGGAGTATGGCATGGGTTACTTCAGCGTTGTATCACCTGGTATTCGAACATTGGCTCGAGACATTTTCTCTATCCCCTTCTTACTTTGAAATTACGTTCTTAAACCGATAACTATCTTTCAGCTAACCTAGCCTCCTCCGTCCCTCGGGGCCAACAAGGGGCAGTATAGGAATATTCACCTGTTGCCCATCGACTACGACTACCCAGTCGTGAAGCTTATCCAGGAGATGTTTTTTATTTGCATTCATGTCTTTTGGAAAGACTGCCCTTCCTTAATATAGGAATAATTTCCCGACTCTACAGGCACGTGAAGTGAAGTGATTGCGAAGGCAGTTGTCATTCTTCTGTAAAAGTGCATTGGGTAGGAGTTCAAATGCAACCAGGAGATATAAAAAGAATTATGTATGATAGGTTACAAGTACTTTGGGCATAAGTACTTTTTTTTATGTTTTAATGATCTAACAGACTTACCATCCAGAACCAGATAAGGAACCAGTTATACATTTACAAGACCTTAAGATCACAAAGTTTCAGGTTGGGATCCAGCGAGGGATATAACTCAGCTCTTCAGAGTGGAAGGAACAGCTGAGGGAACAGGTCCCTACCAGTTCCCGAGGAGACTTTATGAAGTCAACTCTCCAGCTGCAAAGTTGCTGCCTGCACACGCTACTGTCCAGGAACAGTGTAGCAGTCAACTTTTTGTGGAAGGCTTTTTACCTACCTAGCTTACATCATTGTAAGTGATGTCACACATGTATAAATACAATCAGGGAAGGTAAAACAACTTACTTCATGAGAGAACAAGATAAAGAATCTGATACAATTAAGTTCCCTTGCATTCAGAATAACTAGTCAGATGTCTGGTTCAATTCTCAATGAAATTAGATAAGGAAACAACAGAGGAACCATAGGGATCAGTTTCCCTGTCGTTGTACAATCAACTCTACAGCTGTAAAAGCTGCTGCACTGTACCGTCTGGCAGCAGCACAGCTGTAGCTTGCTAAGGCCAAACTAAAGGGCACTTTATTGCATCATCCTTGATGACATCACACACATATATTATCAACATGAGGCAAGGGATTTCATCACTCCAACACTTGCAAAATCAAAAGAAAATTTTCTCTCAAGTGTTAGACACAACCTCTCTCAAGAACAAAGCTGCTGCAACCTCAAGGACCAGATCCAAAGATTGAAGATATCTTAAGTCCTTAGGTTTGTTGAGTCTTCATTATTTGTTCTTCATTTGTAACTCCTACTTAGCTTAATTAGAAGCATTATGTAGGAAACCCTTTGTAAATCATAAACCTTTGTGTTTGTGTCTTGGCTAGAGTTAGTCGAGTTGTGAAGTCTTTGTAATAGAGTTATTACAAAGTGGCTTGTAATAGTGTTGTTACAAGTTAGTGAGTGATTAAGTCTTTGTAATAGAGTTATTAGAAAGTGGCTTGTAATAGTGTAGTTACAAGTTAGTGAGGGATTAAGAGGTTAATTCCTAGGTTACAATAGGTTGTAATCTAACGATTGCTCAGTAGTGAAGTTGAAATCCTACAAGGGTAGGTCGTGGTTTTTAATCCCGTTGAGCTGGGAGTTTTCCACGTAAAATTCCTCTGTGTTCTTTATTTACTGCCGATTTACCGTGGGAACAAATAGAGAACCTGATTCCCTATACTGTTTGGTTTTACAGTCTGTTACTTACATCGGGAACTGATAGAGAACCCGGTTCTCTATACAGTTTGGTGGACGCTTAGTTTCTATCAAAAACACTTTATATTACTTGAAAACATGTAATGTAACCAATCAAAATCGCCAAAATGACTTATTACTAATATTGCAATAAATTAATAATGCAAACTCTATTTTGTAGGCCAACATGCAATTAATGGTGAAATTTTTTCGAGTTTTTCTGTTGTCGATTTGACCCATGATTTTCAACGTTTACACCATTTTATTAGGCCCTCTATTTTAAAACGGCAGAGTTGGGACTCGTCCGAGGCTCGCCCTGGGGTGAGCACTCGTAAAACGCCCCTGGGCTCATGTGTGGGGCTTAGTTCCATGAGACTTACGCCTCGTCCTCTGGGGCTTACGCTACGGACACGCCCAACGCCCAACGCCCGGCGTATTGGGCTCGCCTTATAGAACTTTATGCAATTGTGTGTAACTAACCTTGTAAATCCTCAAATTTTCTTAATAACCCATTGTCTATTGAAATTACTTTTTTCTTAATCATAAATCATTAAGTTGAGAGTATTTTATGTCATAATTAAAATAACAATTATTGCACGTTATCCATTAAGTCTGCTATAATAGTAAATTTTAAAAAAAATCTTTCATTNAAGGGCACTTTATTGCATCATCCTTGATGACATCACACACATATATTATCAACATGAGGCAAGGGATTTCATCACTCCAACACTTGCAAAATCAAAAGAAAATTTTCTCTCAAGTGTTAGACACAACCTCTCTCAAGAACAAAGCTGCTGCAACCTCAAGGACCAGATCCAAAGATTGAAGATATCTTAAATCCTTAGGTTTGTTGAGTCTTGTTATTTGTTCTTCATTTGTAACTCCTACTTAGCTTAGTTAGAAGCATTATGTAGGAAACCCTTTTGTAAATCATAAACCCTTGTGTTTGTGTCTTGGCTAGAGTTAGTCGAGTTGTGAAGTCTTTGTAATAGAGTTATTACAAAGTGGCTTGTAATAGTGTTGTTACAAGTTAGTGAGTGATTAAGTCTTTGTAATAGAGCTATTAAAAAGTGGCTTGTAATAGTATAGTTACAAGTTAGTGAGGGATTAAGAGGTTAATTCCTAGGTTACAATAGGTTGTAATCTAAAGATTGCTCAGTAGTGAAGTAGAAATCCTACAAGGGTAGGTCATGGTTTTTAATCCCGTTGAGCTGGGAGTTTTCCACGTAAAATTCCTGTGTTCTTTATTTACTGCCGATTTACCGTGGGAACAAATAGAGAACCTAGATCCCTATACAGTTTGGTGGACTCTTAGTTTCTATCAATTGGTATCAGAGCCGGTTCTTTCTAAAAGGTTAACACCTAGAAAGGATCTACATGGATGCTCCACCAAACTTCGAGGAAAGTCAATCAACCGACATACCACCCAGAGTTCAGAAAATGGTTCGTAAAATGGAGGCATTCCCAAGAAGGGTAGTTTTAGCAGAAACACTAAAGGATACGATTGTTGTCACAAGTGCAGAAAGCCAGGACATTTCATCAAAGATTGTCCTCCACAATCAGGACCATTACAAACACAATGCTTCTAAGATGGTTAAGAGGAACCCGGTCCCCGACAGAAAGTGTAAGAGAAGAGATGTCGCTGATAATATTGTAAAGCAAGATCTGGATGCCTGGGGAGATTCCTCTAGTGAATCTGAGGGTGATGATGAACAGGAAGGCACCACCTTGATGGCCGTTGAAAGAAAAGCTGCAAAATATGATTCCATATTTGCATTGATGGCAAAATCAGACGAGGATGAAGAAGAAGATGATGATGAGGTAAACTTCTTAGATGTTCAAAGAAATCTATAGTATTATTCTCCGAAAAAACTTATGTCTTTGGCAATTGTTTTAATTGATGCGTATCATAGTCTTATAAATGATAAAGATGCCTTAACTGTGGAACTGGGAGAAGCAGAACAATCGAGAGAAGATCTAGTAGTTGGGGTGGTAGACTTAGAGGAAACCATTGAGAGTCTGAAGAAAGAAAAAGATGCCTTAACTGAAAAAATTGCAAACATAGGACATGAGAGAGATGATCTAGTGGTTGTTGTGGTCAATCTAAAAAAGACCATTGAGTGTGTTAGAAAGGAGAAAGAGGTTTTAACTGAGATGGTTGCTAACATTGAGCATGAGAAAGATGACATATTAGTGGTGGTTGTAGACCTAAAGGAAACAATTGAGGAACTAAAAAGGGAAAGCCTAGGAACACTCAAAAAGGAAAGGAAGTTGCAAGTTAGGCACACCTTAAGCTTGAAAATGAGTTAAGATTAGTGAAATCTAGTTTGTGTGCCGAGATTGAGAAAAACAAACAACTTTAGGAAGAACTAGGAAGAGTGAAGAGTGATCTTGAAAAATCACTTAAGTGGACCTGGTCTGATACTATCACTGCCTTGTACACAAACAAT